TTTCCCAAGTCCTTTGCTTTGACCATGTGAAGAAGACGCAGAAAATCCGCTTGCTTCACACAAGTATTTTCTGCATACAACAAGTTGGTACCACCCAAATGATGGCCGACGGATTGACCAAGGATCAATTCCCCCCCTGACCAGCCAAGGGGAAACGTAAAAGGGGGGAAGATGGAAGGAAAACTCACATTGGCACAAGCGCAAAGGGAATCGTGATGGGCATTCCCACAATACACCACAACATTCTCCGCCTATGCAGCCCATCCCGCTCACTGCCCATCCTTCTGACCGCGTCCTCCGCCTGAGCCTCAGACATGACACTCTGCGGAAACACCAGCTCGACGTCATCTTGGTCCTGCCCCTGCGTCTGCGTCTGCGTCTGCGTCTGCGTCTGCGTCTGCATCTGCTCCTCGCCCTTGTCCGCACTTTGCCGCCGCAGCTGCTCCCGGCTCGACAGCAGCGGCACAGACTTGAGGCCCCATTCCTCGTAGGGTATCCGCCGAAACGCGTGGTTCCCGTACTCAACCACCTTCTTCTGCCATCCTGACTCCTTCTTCTCCCAGTTGGACCACGTGCGCTCTGCCCAGGCAGCCCCGCGGTCGAAGTACGAGGTGTCAGTTGAGGCGGTCGCGTGGTGCAAGCGCTGGGCGTAGAGGAGGCTCCTCCGTGTGGAAAGGGGGAGGATGTAGAGGCGCATCGTCATGGTTTCTCGGTTTATTGAGTCCCCTTGAAGTTTGGAGTTTGCTGCTGTTGTCGGCTTATCAGAGCGGGAGCGTGTCGGGACAATGAAATCGTGATGCTGGAGGAGAGGCGCCCACACAGCTTGGACGAGAACCAACGACGGATGATCGATTCTTTTATGATATGCTTGCAAAGAATTGGGGTATTCTGGCAAAATATGCAGTTTGTTCCTCACTTGCAAGCTTTCAAAGAGGATGAGCGCAAAGATGTGAATGATTGAGGGAGGCGCAGCGATGGGAGGCCGTTCTAGGTAGTTTCCTCGTCCTGGGACTCGGGAGGAAGCGCAGAAGGGCGCAGCTTTGCGACAAAGTGGAAACGGCCAGGGATGAGATGCAGGGCGGATTCTACCTATTGCTCCATGGCGCGGAAGGGCAAACAGAGAGGATCGCCGCGAAGCGTGGGCTTCGATTAGATTTAGGACGCAGAAAGGGCAGGAAGAGCAGACCTAGCAGCAATAAAGGGATTCGTGACAGCAACTTGCTTACTTTCGTTCGTTGGTGCAAGGTATCGCAAATTCTTGACAGCGCGATGCCCGACGTGGTGACGTACTTGCCAGAGGCCCTGCAGCATCACGTGCGCGCCTTCTTGGAGCATCTGAGGCGGCAAACTTGCCGACGTTTGAACTTTGTCGGGATAGGGCCCACTTACTTGCCGCGCGGGAAAATGCACATTGCACAGAAGTGCACGATTTGATGAGATTACGTTTCTTTTGAGCATATGGCTCCTGGAAAAGCCACATGGTGGCTGCTAAGTGATGAGGAAGAGAGCCACGGAGAGCATGCGAGTTGTACCTAGTTTTGTGTCCATACATTTATAGTATGTAATTTAGCCGACCAACCACATCCATCCGGGCGAATGGTTTAGTGGTATAATACTCCCTTAGCATAAATTGGTTATGGAACAACCGGTTCATGGTGACCAGTGCCAAAGGTTGGGAGTGGTCCAGGGTTCGATTCCCTGTTCGTCCAGACTCTTACTTTTAACATTTTGACCTTTTTTTTGGCCTCATCATGAACACTCAGGAGTCAGCACTACTTACTGACAGTGGACAAAGACCTCCGCCGAGTCGGGCACAGAACATTTTTGCTGCTCTTCATTTTTGCCCAAAACGTTTTGAGGTGCGATACCCTGGCGATATGCGAGCTGTCCATACACATCGCTGTGACTGAACACGGGACATACCCATATTGACCACAACTCTATGGAAAGATCTTCCTTCCAGAATGTAAATCTAGTGTATTAAAAAGGTAAAGTACCTTCTCCATCATGAGTGAAAACATGCCTCTTGGAAGCCGCCTCTCGCTCAACCTCATATATACACACAGATACAGACAGCACCGCACCGCACCCCCTTACAAGCCCTCCCATCCAAGCTTTTATGTACACACAGATGAATAATGCCGCAGCAAAGCTATCATCAAAATCCCTGTTACGACTGGGGACTCTTGCTCCGACCCCCCACGGCTCCTTTGCCCACAATCTTCTCGGCTGCCCACTTCCACGATGAGGGACTCAGAGTTGGGGACGTAGTTCCTGCTGTATCTGACGACCCTTTCGATTGCTGCGACTGCTGAGACTGCTGCTGCTGGCCAGCTTTCTCCCCACTGTAAACTTCCATGTCGCTCTCGTTGTCGGTGTCCGCCCAGTCTCGGTCACTCCATGTCATGGAATCCGCTCGGTCTGAGGCTTCGAGTCGCGGACGCCCGAGGGGAATGCTCTCGCTGTCGCTCTTCTTGGGTAGCTCGGGCACCTCGTCCAAAGCTTCTTCGCCAGCTTCGTTGACTTCTCCACCACTCTCGCGCTTGCTACTCCCACCGCTGGCGTGGTCACCTTCGTCGCGCAGCTGGTGCAAGGGCCTTACTTCTCGTCCATCGGCGGCTGGTCCGTGATGAACTTCAAATGCTCGATCCATGTTGGGCTCTTCTTCATCGCGAACGCGTGCGGTCTCGGAGTCGCTAAAGTGTGCGTCGACCATGTGTTTGATCACTGGCCAGCCATGCGCGTTGGCAAACATGCGTCTCACAATCATGTTGTTATGCGCGTCTGGCTCCAATTTGACCAGCACTTTGCGCCACGACAGATCCCGATGATAGCCTCGGGCAATCTTCTCTTCTACTCTCATGTTGGAAGCGTCTACGGTTTCCGAGGGGTTGGGCTCGGGGCTGGTCTTGGCTGTGTCATCGCCGTGGTCTTTGCCCGAGACGGTCTCCTTGGAATCCGCATGCAGCGGATTGTTGGGCGGAAAAGGAGACGTTGAACGACTACCTGGCTCTGATGGTTGCGGCGAGCCCGAGATCTTGGCAGAATTCTTGCTGCGACGACCGAACGTCGACTGGCGTTTCTTCAACGGCGGCGGTGGTGGAGGGATATCACTGGGATGGTATACTCGGTCGTGAAAGATGGTTCTTGATCGCTTAGACGGGTCAAGTAGGTATTCTTCGCTTGGGATACTGGGGTTGAGCACATCGCCTGCTGATTCGAAGAAAGTCGTCTTTGGCGGTGCCGACATGCCATCGGCATAGCCATCAACCTCATGACCGGTAGTAGCCTTGCTTGGCTGCGGCTGCTGCTGTTTTCTGTCAGGCTCGTCAGTGGAGCTCGAGGTAGCTATGTCGGGGCTGACAAGAGGCATAGTTTGCCCTCGCCGCAGCATTCTTTTCTGCTTCGCCGTCGGAATTGGGGTCTTGGGCGGATCTTGGCTCTTGAAAAGACCAAAAAAGGTGGATAAACGAGAATTGATACCAGAGCCTGGACCATTGTGATGGTTGTTGCTACTTTTGTTCTCTACACCCGGCTCGTCATCCTCATTACTACGGGCCCGCGGTACAGAACGGATGCTAGCTCGTTCGTCCTCATGCATCGCATCACTAGAGGGCTGCGGAACTTGTCGCATGCCCTCTTTGGGAGAGCCCTTGGGGGTAGTGGTGCCAGAATCATCTTGCTGCTCTTCTTCCAAGGCGACTTGTTTCCTGCGTCTCGATGACGCCATGTTCGTGCCGGTTAGTTCTGCCCACCCAAACCCAACAACCGTTTCTACCAAGCCAGCATCTCTCCGAGCCTTTTCGACGCGGCCAAGGCCCTGCCAGTCGAGAAACAGGAGACAGCTTGTGCGGAGCGGCACGATTCCGTCATTGACCACATTGGAGTAGACTGTGCGGTTTCTAAACTTCTTCAGGGCCGTGTGAGCCGGGCCGGTGGGCAATATTCGTAACAGTGGTTTCGACTCGGGCTGTGATTCGCCATACACCTTCTTATGCGCCGACTCGCCGAGGTTGCTGACAAGAGCGCCCCATCCAATCCGAGCAATGGTAGGCGCTCTCCAGGTCAAGCCCAGATCTTGTCCGGTCCTGCCTACAAGTCCAAAGTCAAGGGCGAACTTGACGTAAAGTGGGTTCTCGTTGCTTAACCCCAGAAAAGGGGTCGCCATCGCAATGAAATTCACGGGCTGAATAAGATCAAAGAACTTGGGCGAATGTTTCTGTATGTAAGCAATAGCATATGTCTGAATCAGACCACCGAGAGAGTGTCCGACGAAACTTATGCTTGTGATCTGGTAACTTCTGTAGTGTCTATCATGCTTTGCCTTGGTAGTATCGGCTTGAATTTCACTATTCTTGTGCGCTTGTTTCACCTCGTGAGTGCCATTTTGGTGTGACTGGTCCTGGTGAAATAGATGGTGAGGATGGAGACTATGGTCGTGATGATAGTGATCATCCGCTAGGGCTTCAACACCACCCTCACCGGCGCAGTCTTTCAGAGCACCTTTGGCAATCGGAAGAAATGGTTGGTCTGGGTACGTCATTGATAGAATATACCGCGATAATCTCTTCCCGAGGTACTTGATTCCTTTCTCTGTCTTTGTAGCATTTCCAGGATATCCACGCACGATGACTTCCTCATCGTCATCGTCGTCATCATCATCGTCCACATCATTTGCGATGTTATCCTGGCTTTCTTTAGACGGCGAATCCTCGTTCATCGAGCCAGCAGGTTGTTTATCGGCCCTTGGCTTTTTTGCAGCTCTCTCCTTTGCCCTTCTAGCCTTCGCATCAATGCGTGCTTGCCTAGCGGCCGCATCGATGCTTTCTTTCATGTAAAGCATGTCAGCGCCTAAATTGCTGTGTAGACCATGCGTCAATATGACAAGATGGACCTTCTTCTTCTTCCCGTGTGGCTTTTTCGGTTGTTTCAGCTCCTCGATCTCCGGATCACCAGTGTTCACCACGTTCTCCACAGGCTGATTGGCACCGGCGTCCTTTCCGGCGCTCTTGTTTACAGCATCATCATCACAGCCGGGAAGGCTGGGCGTGTTCCAAAGCGCCGCGGAGTCCTCCACCTTGAGCTGTATGGCCCTTGAGAAGACACCCTTTGGCTGACCGGGATGGTGCCCATCCTTGGCACCGGCACTTTGCCGGTGATCGATCAGTTTTCCGGGCTGCGGCACTTGGCTGAAGTTGCCCCCAATCGATGACAGCGACTGGCTGAGGTTGAGAGATTTGTGATCGCGCGCCACGACTAAATCGAAGCCCACGGCAGCTGAAGTAGAGAATATGACCTGGGAGGCTATTTCAATCACCCACTTTGCGCATTCTCCATCGTGTTCAGGGCCCTTTCCAAAGGTTTTATTGCTTCCGATGCCGGCGTCTTGGCGAATGTTGTCTGGGACGATCAGCTCGCACTCCCAGGATCCTCCTGCCTTGAGCATGGGCTCGAACCGGGGGGCTCCGTACCGGCGAGGATTGGTGAACTTTTCATTGGGGTTGAAGTGAGAAGGATACGCCGAAACGGACAGGGTATAGGGCCCGTGGACAAAGGCAGCGCGAAGGGCGATGGTCGAGGTATTTCGAATCCGAACATGTAGTTTTTCGGGGGAGGGGAGGATTCGATCTTGCGAGGGCGTGTACGTGAGGTTGTATCGGATCACCTCGCCGACCTTGACACTGCCGATCTGGTGCAGGAGAAGCATTTTCCCAGAACGCTTCGGCCCCAGGGGCGTCGCGAGAGATGGCTGAAACGGGACCACAAAGGTTCGTGAGAGCACAAGATAGAGACGGCGCCGTTGTCGCAAGCAGGTTGAGGGCAGGTTGAGGTTATGATGTCAGCTGTCTTGCCAGCATCCTCGGCCACGTGGTACAGCGAGGTCCGAGCGCATACAACGTAGGTAATCGGAAAGAGGGAATCGACAAGAGCAGTAAGGCAAAGCCTATTTCCGAGAGCGGACTTTGTGTATTAATGCTCCCATGGCGACGCGCCGAGCACAGGGTTGGTCTCGAAGATGCTCGGAAAAGGGGCTGAGCGCGAGATGATCAATTCTAACAAGCTTGAAGGAGCGAACAGGGCACCTGCAAGAGACGTGGCTCACATGCCGTACCCCGCTCCTGCCGAATGGGGAGGGGCCGACAGCCGTGAAGCGGGGCGGTGGCCGTCACGGTTGGTCTGGACAATGGAGGTACATATGTACATATGTACATACTTCCGTATAGGAGAGGTACCTAGTACACACCGTGCAGTATAACTCGGGCTGGAGGGTGAAAATGGAATCACTTTGTCATTAGCGTTTTTCAATTTTGGCTGTCGGATTACAAGTGCAGTAACTGTAGACTGTGCTTCAAGTGAGGACTAGAAATGGGCCAGAACTGGACTCCAGCGTGGGAGCCCAGACGTACCTACATGTACCTAGGTACCTATACACCATCGCATTGCTCCCCTCCCTCTCTCCCTCTCTCTGAAATGCACATTGTAATTCTCGTTTGAATTAGTTCCCATTTTCACTATTCCGTGCTTATATACATAGACTAGATACACCTCAAATCAACCTTGTTCCATGCGCACTTATTTACACGCCACTTGACCGAGCCGATCAACACTACATATTATTACATACATACTAGGTGCCTGGTCCACGGCCCACAAAGCCAGTATACTCGCTACAAACAGCTCGGATATCCAAAATCGCCAACACCTTTCC